TGCTGAACCAGTAGCTGTCCCTCACCAAATACAATGTCAGATGTAACGTTTGGAGATGTTGTATGAGCAAAACCCAATCCCTGTTTAAGCAGCAGACAGACTGGACTATGGGACTTCTGCTACAACAGTATTTTCCTCAGGTTTTTCCAGCCCAGCTTTGAGCATCAAGTAACAAACTGTACAAAGGATTCCTTGTAGGATCATGTCACATTTTTAAAAGCTCTCTCCCTCAGGATATTTCTACCATTTCCAGCCTCTATTTACTTTTCCTTGACACCACTCAATTGCTCTTAATTATTTACTCAAAACAACCCTCTTTCTGTTTTGAATGTTTGCACACTTCAAATGCTTTCACTATTACACTATTCACTCACGCTGCCAAGCTTCGTTTTTGGTAAACTTGAATCTCCTCATAAATAAAACCAGGACTCCTGAAGGAAAGTTTGTGTGCACAAGATTCTCTTTCCTTATTGTTTTTTAAACATACACCGCACACTGTTCCATATTTTAATTGACAAATTTAAGACTATTAAACATGCAAAAAGAGGGAATGGGTTTGTTCTTATAGCGACATTATGCCATCTAGTGGTTAAGAGAAACCTGGTGCACACATCTCTAGCAAACACTGAGCAAATCCCTCAAAAACTTAAAAAGTTCTGTCTGTGGTGTATAACCCCTTCAGAAAACAGATTCATAAAGTACCTCCTAAAGCAAAAGGTAATAGAAAAAATCCCTCTCCATGCTGTGAAGGTTTCTAGTCTACCCAGAGGAACCTGTCTGCAACGTTTCTTCTTTCACATCTGAAATGAGTAACTGAGCATGGTTGTAAGAGACCAGCTTGCCAAACCACTTCTCTAGCAATACAGAAAGAATCCTCTGGAATAGAGATGTGAAGCACAGTAGTGTTGCAGGTTTCCCACAGCTTCCCCCATCAACAAAGAACTCTGCCACAAAGAATTGTATGGGAAGAACGTCAGGATGACTGAACAGAATAGACACTGCTAAGTTTCAGAGAACAGGATTCTGGGGTACTCACGTTCTTTGTCCTTCTCAACAAGAGAAGTGGGTGGTGCAATGGCAGCTCCTCCCATACCTATAAGCAAAATGGAAGATAACACATTTGTGTGATTATGTTCTACTGCTCGAAATAGCTTCACTGAATCTCAAGATAGCTGCTGGCTCCTGACCAGCCAATTCTTAACACACATCTCTTATCAAGAGAAAAGCAGCAAGAGAGCAGTCTGAGAAGCTTCAACAGTGGTGAGCTAGAAAAGCACATCAAGGGAGACAACATCAAACTGCAGTGATGTACTACTACATGTCGTGCCTGTCATAAACATATTTCACAGGATTTCAAAATTAAAGACTACAGTGAAACAAACCTTCAGTTCTAAAACTGCTCAACCCAAATGAGAAAGATGCTCTGTTCAAGATTGACTACACTTCCAAAACAGTAAAGCACAAAGACTCTTCTATATCTTAATGAGCAGTATTCTAATGTAGTCCCATAACTTTCAAGGTACAGCCAATGGTTTTTATGTCCCCTGTTGGAAATTTCCTTTTTTAGAATAACACCAGACCACAATTATTTACTGTAATTTTGCTGCTGGAATACAATAAAGTTTAATTTTGTTTATAGAATCACAGAATGGTTTGGGTTGGAAAAGAGCTGAAGATAATCCAGTTCCAACCCCCTGCCATGGGCAGGGACGCCTCACACTAGACCATGTGGCCCAAGGCTCTGTCCAACCTGGCCTTGAACACTGCCAGGGATGGAGCATTCACCACTTCTCTGGGCACCCTGTGCCAGCGCCTCAGCACCCTCGCAGTAAAGAACTTCTTCCTTATATCTAACCTGAACTTCCCTTGTTTCAGTTTGAACCCATCACCCCTTGTCCTATCACTCCAGTCCCTGAGGAAGGTCCCTCTCCAGCATCCTTGTAGCCCCCTTCACACACTGGAAGCTGCTCTGAGGTTTCCACACAGCTTCTCTTCTCCAGGCTGAACAGATATGTAAAGACATATCTCATCACCCAGATCTGCATCATCTCACTAGTTCTAAGGGCACCGAAATAACAAATGCAGGAATAGTCAGCTTTAGTAGCTGATTAACAGTGATCCTCATAGCCTGATGCTCTCTCATGCCTCCTCCCTTTCCTGGAACTTACACCATGCAGAAACTTAAACCAGGTTATCTGCAAACTAATGTAAAAAGAGGTCTTTCCACAAGTAATTTAGCCTCCATGGAAAGAACAGTTTTCTGCATGACAACAGTTATGGTTGTAATAAAATGCTACGTTAATCTAAAGGCTCAGAAATAACAGCACACTCCTCAGCTGAGAAGAGAGACACAAGCAATCCATGGAACAGGACTGTGAATTCCCCCCATCTCTTTTTCTCCTCTTTCCCCATCAAAAAACCAAACAGCTCCCTTACTTCTTTTTCGTCTCTCCCTTTCATAATCTTCATCTTCATCAGAATCTGGATCTGGTCTTCTTGAAAAGCCACTGGCTTCATGTCTGTCTTTACGTCTTCTAGGAAACACAGTAAGTTAGAAACCATCAAATTCTTTGCTTTCATTTGTGATACCACCTTTGCAGTGTGAATTATACTGCTTCACTCTAATTGGCATTTTATAATGTTTTCACTTACACCTTCGTGGAAAACCTTTACTTTTTGTTTCTCTGCTTTTCTCCTCATGGAGTACTTTTTGTAAAATTAAGATAGATCCAAAGCAAGATCATTCTCCATGTGCAAGTCAGCCAAGAAGAATGTATGGAAATGAGGAAACATCTGAATAAATCTAGTCCAAACTGACTATAGTGACTGAATGACTACAATGGAAGAGGTTTTGGATGGAATGGATCACAACGTAAAAGCCATTAATCAATCACTCTGCTTTGAACAGAATCCCTTTTACATTCCCCATCACAGGCTGTATAGAGTAACACCATTTACTCAGTCAATTGAAAAAACCCAAACCAATCAGGTCATTGAGTAGCTTGGTGATTAAATAAGATTCCAACAAGTCTGTTAAAACACATTTAACATTAGGTGACAAATGCCTCAAGAATTGTTTGCACTTCAGCTGTTACTTTTTGTGATCATGACATTACTCACTTCAATACTTCAGAAAAAGGAAAAGTAGTTTTCCCAAACTGTTAGGAGCACAGTGTGGAGCATAAATCAGATCTCATTGCCAGCACAGCCATCAAAACTGTGCTACAGGATGCTAAAAACAGCTCTACTATTCTGAATCTCTGCACTGTGAATTTAAACCAAACCTACACTCTACCACCCAGGTTATTACAAATCACCCAGCTGACGCAGCCTTGGCTAAGATTGTTTCCCCAATTTCAAATCAGAGTGTATGATGTGTTTTTCACTTCCTCTCTCTAATGTTATATATAAAGATTACCCTTTTGGCCCACATACAACAAGCACGAGCATGCCTGAATAGAAATCAACACTGAAGCTGTGGAAACGACAGCCTGGATTTCTGACATCCCGACAGAGCCTGAGGCATTCCTCCTCCACCAGATAATTGAAGATAGAACCAAGAGAGAACAGAGAAGACCAAATGGCTAAAAATATCGATTTCCACAATCTAAAAACGGTGACAGAATAACTCTCTTGTAATTCCATAGACTTGAGATGATTCATAAGAGGATGAAGATGGCTTATTAATTTCACTTAAAATGGCAAATATAACCTTCCTGCCTGTCTGGCAGATGTTTTCCCACTTATTTCAATAGGACACTGAATCTGCATTCAACTTCTTTAATATGATTAGAGAGATTCCTTATTCTGTGGAAATGGTATTAAGGTAATTAAAAGTAAATAGTGTTTTCCTTTGTACAGAGACAAAGAAGTAATAAATACATAATTAGCCTATTTGAAGTGAATGCAGACTGTTAATAAAGTGTAACTATGCCTTTCATAGGCTGTGCTAGCCACATCTTTAAAACTGGATGCATCATGTATCAGTTCATAGTATTTAAACACAGAAGTGATGGTTCATCACTGAATGTCGGAAGGTATTTCTGTAGTGAAGTTAAACTGACAATACTCTAAAGGTCGAAGTCTAATAATGATGCATTAAGTACCCAAATCCTATTACTACTGTCAAAATACATACAGAGAAAGCTCACATATATCTTTCAGCCAAAGAGGCTGTTAACATGATAAATGCTGTAATTTTTGTACTGTCAGTCGATTATTACAACATACTAAAACATTGTGCTTGTTTCTAAAAGCACAGTATTCTTCACAAAAGCTTTAAGAATTTCCCTGTTTAGAGGGATAAAACTAAACAGATTCATGTGCCTCTTCTTTAAATAACTGTCAGTACATCATGAGTTTAAACAAAAGTCTTACTTTTCTCTTTCTTCAATCTCCTTTTGCCTCTCCAGCTCACGCTGCCTCTGTCGTTCCTCTCTTTGACGTTTTACCACTTTTTCATAGTCATTTGGGAACATGGGATCATATTCATCAGCCAAAGGAATCAACACATCTCCTGCAGAAAAACCACTGGGTACAGGATCCTTAAAGAAAGAAAAAGGATTTTTTCAGCTGAGATCTGAAAGCATCCAGTTGGAAACCAGTAATTTAACATTTCCTTCTCACTCTCAACACCACAAACCTCAATTCCTGACTTTAATTACGGCAAGTAATATCCTAATCCCACTGGTACAAGAAGAAATCTCTGCTTCACCTAAAATTAACATTCCACCCAGGCTTGCACTATCTCAAATTTTTCCATGAAGAAAGAACTGCCCCCACCCCTTCCCCTACCAAATACAAAGCAGCAGCACATCAGCAAGGACAAGAATTTTTCAACCCTCCATAATTCACTACTAGAGGTATTAGAGCAACTTGCTCTTGCAACTGTCTGCAAGGGGTCCTCCCACACAAGCACATCAGGCTTTTTCATCACCTGCTATTAATACAACACAGACAGAGGTTCACACACTGTTCTATCCTCATCTGAAAGAACTATTTAGGGCCATGAGGATGATCAGGGGCTGGAGCACCTCCTGCATGGAGCCACGCTGAGAACATTGGGGCTGTTGAGCCTGGAGAAGAGAAGCTGCGTGGAGACCTCAGAGCAGCTTCCAGTGTCTGAAGGGGGCTACAAGGATGCTGCAGATGGGACCTTCATCAGGGACTGGAGCGACAGGACAAGGGGTGATGGGTTCAAACTGAAACAGGGGAAGTTCAGGTTAGACATGAGGCAGAAGCTCTTCCCTGTGAGGGTGCTGAGGCGCTGGCACAGGGGGCCCAGAGAAGCTGTGGCTGCCCCATCCCTGGCAGGGTTCAAGGCCAGGTTGGACACAGGGGCTTGGAGCAACCTGCTCTAGTGGAAGGTTGCCCCATGGCAGGGGGTTGGAACTGGATAAGTGTTCAGGTGTTTTCCAACCCAAACCATTCTATGTTTCTATTTCAGAACCACCATGTTTTAAAAAGTTTCAAGCAGAAAGTCTTTTGATTCCTTACCACAAGAAATCCATTTTAAAAGGTTAGGTGGCTTTTTAAGTTGATTGATACACAGGTCCAGTTCCAACACTGGTGCAATCACAATTACATTCATTATTTACGTGACCAAACTGCTGTTTTGCAAAGTACCTTCAAGCTGATCAGGAGAAATACACCAGGAACACTGTTTTATTTTAACTGCACGTTAATATTGGTAATTCCATGCTGCAGCACATGGAAAGTCTGTACAAAGCTGAAATGTTCATCAATTAAAGATGCTCTGAGCACAGGAAATCAATTTCGGAAAATCTGACCACTAGGAAAGATGTTGAAAAATAAAAATACAGACTGCAGTCAACTAATTCAAATTCTGATCTGTTACTTCACAGATGGACTTTTTAGCTGCCTTGGTCTTACCTTTAAGCCAGCTGCTACATGAGGTGGTGTGTCCACAATCTGTCTCTCATCAGAAGAGCCTCCTCGCTTCAGGTCAATCACTGGAGCAAGGACTGTGCTTTGTTTTGTTCTCTGACTCTGAAAAACACCACCAAAACACAAAATGTCTAAAACAGATAATTCAGAACCTGGTTTTATATATTTGTAGCTGGTATCTCCAATTTCTTTGGTAAAAGGATGAAAACCACTGTCTCAAAACCTTCACTGTACAAAGCTCAATAAATCATTTCTCTTCAGTTTACCAAAATACAGGAATTCTCAACACTTCTGCTCTCGTGAGACCCCACTCACAGCACTGTGTGCAGTTCTGGTGTCCTCAGCATAAAAAGGACATGGAGCTGTTGGAGCAAGTCCAGAGGAGGCCATGAGGATGACCAGGGGCTGGAGCACCTCCCGCATGAAGCCACACTGAGAACATTGGGGCTGTTCAGCCTGGAGAAGAGAAGCTGCGTGGAGACCTCAGAGCAGCTTCCAATGTTTGAAGGGGGCTACAAGGATGATGGAGAGGGACCTTCATCAGGGACTGGAGTGATAGGACAAGGGGTGATGGGTTCAAACTGAAACAAGGGAAGTTCAGGTTGGAGATAAGGAAGAAGTTCTTTAATCTGAGGGTGCTGAGGCGCTGGCACAGGGTGCCCAGAGACGTGGTAATGCCCCATCCCTGGCAGTGTTCAAGGCCAGGTTGGACAGAGCCTTGGGTAACATGGTCTAGTGGAAGGCATCCCTGTTCATGGCAGGGGGTTGGAACTGGATGATCTTAAGGTCCTTTCCAACCCAAACCATTCTGTGATTCTATGATTTCTAATGGACCTTGACGTGGATAACTAAGTTTATGTCATGATTTAGTGGTGGCAAAGGCTCTCAATTCCAAGTCAGATTCTTGCCAACTATGGTTAAAGAGCTGCTACACAAATACAGATCTGATGGAATGTTTCAAAGAATGCTTCCATGAAACCAGTGCATATCTTCCTCTTTTTAAGCAAGTGAGATCAGACTTTGCTTGTGTGGGCACTAGAATATACAGTGGTAGGTGAAATGCTTCTAGGTTTGGACTAGGACCAGAAAAATCACCTTAAAACTTCAGACAACCTTTTCAAATGAGTTTGAACCAAATGGTTTGTTTTTTTTTTTTTTTTTAAGAAGAGGCTGAGACTTATTCCAAAAATCTACAGTTCTTCACATTTTATCATCTGATAAAATGTATTAGTCTATTCTGAACGCTGAGTTTTCAAATCCTATTCTATTCTTCTATTAGTTTATGCATACACTGCATACGAATTGAGACAAAGAACAGAATATATCTAATAGAGTAATCATTTAGATTTCATTCATGCAGGTTGTTCCAGTCATCAACTAAATTCTGCTCTCAATTTCAGCATCACAAACCAGGGGTAATTGCAGGGAAAAAAAATGCTGTGCCTACTGAAGTGTTCAGTATCTATGCTGCTACTTATTTTTAATCAAGTAATCTCACTCTAGAAGCTGCACACCACAAAGAACACACATGTCCTGCCTGAACCAACACAGCTTGAAGAAAAGAGGATGAAACAGTATAGCAATAAAAAGAGAAAATGGCTCTGTCACAGTTCAGGCTCAAGGAATTCACTTGCACTCTTTCTCCCTTTTATGTACATTGGAAATACTTTCTGCAGACATTTCTAATGCACAACGATTTGCACTTTAGAAGCAAAAGCTTTAAAAAGCACAAAGTGAGGGAGTATGGCCAACCATCCAGCACAGTATGACCCTTACTTTAAAAAACCCCAACTTAACATCATTATCTATCTTCAAAGTTAGATCTGAAGATCAGCTTTTAGCTCTGCTACTTAAAAGATCTACATCCCTTCTTCATTCAATTTTAATGTTAATTTTGCAATTTGGATCTATCAGACTTTAAGAAACTTGCATCTTGACTCTCCTCCCCTCAGTTTTGCAACGCTTCTTGCTACAAACTCATAGGCAAATCTCAGCAAAAGTACCCCAAATTGGTATTCTAAGGTGACAAACCTTCCTCAGTGCTGCAAACAGCGAAGAAGTTTGAATAACAGAAAGCAAAAAATAGAAAGGGACTATACCTTTGCTTGTGTGAGAGCTGCTTTCTTCACCTGCAACTGAGACTGCAGCAGTTTGAAGTTTTTGGACCAGCCTTCTGTTTTAGAATCACTGGTCTCAACCCCCAAGTCATCGTAAAGTGACATTTTCTCTTCAATTGAAAACTAGAAGACAAAAAGACAAATTCCAGATGACACAACAAACCTATGTCAGGGCTTATTTGCTACTAGTTTGCATATGTTTGTACACCATATTTTGATACGTATTTGTTTTCAAAGCCAGAGAAAATCTGAAGTAATCAAATCTTACTTAGACTAGTAGCAAATACAGGTAACTACAGTAAGGCTGCTTAAAAGTAACGGTTTGAAAAGTAATTAATATTGTTTAAGCATTGCAAGTGTTGGGAAGTTCCTAAACTTACATTTGTAGCATTAGATATCAGTAATTTCAGGCTTTAGGGAAGTGATACTCTGTGTATCACACAAGCCTCAGGACTTCAGAACCAAGCAAAAAGGAGTTATTGTCTCTGCTGACCTTAAAAACATATAAACATTCAAATCATCTTATTGTCACTATTTTTTGCATCACTGTAAAGGAAAAGCTTTCTTACAGCAAATACACTTGTCATAGTATTATTAAGCCACTATTTTCATGTACTTGAGAGGCCCATCTAAAGGCTTACATCTGCATATACACACACACCACACACATCTATACAAAATTAGCTAGGTAACTACATCAAAATCATGACGTGAAACACATCAGTTTGACACTGCATCTTAGGTGAACAGAAAACGAGAAGATGTGACTATAATGAGAGATCTATCACTTGTGGAACAAGCTCACTAAAGGGGTTTAAAGCCCCCTTTTAAAGCTCATTATCTCTGATAGGCCTGGATTACAGTATCTTCACCCCAAAACTAACCTCTTAATTTACTGCAGGATCAAACAGGACTGATCAATGCTCTTGCAGTGAAAACCTACAGATTCATCAGCAAGACCTTGATCCCACGGGTTTGACAGACACTTATATTTGAGGGAACCTGCCTCACATATGGGAGATGACGGCTGCTGCACATATAACTTATACCCATTCAAGCATTCTGTAGAAAAAGTCTTAACTGCAGCAACTGTAACTCCAAATTTAAATAAATCCCAAGAATTTAATCCTGCAGTGGAAGATAACACCCAGGACCCAGCAGAATAGAGTTCACTGCAATAAAACAGAGGTTGAACTTGACGGACATTATTAAACATAGGGGCACACAAGTGAAACACGCAGAGGTACCTTATAACACATGTGGACACAGGATGAGAACAAGACATGACACAAATTCCCACAAAGAATAAAATTAACGCGGTGGGAAAGGTGCTGTTCTATGGGCGATACGATGCACCCGGGATTCGCGCATGGATATAGGGAATACAGGGAAGGTGCTGCCACCGCGGGAAAAGGACTTTGTGCCTCAGCGCCTGGAAGAGCGCACGGCGGGGGACACGCACTGGAGCGGAGCAGCGGGACCGGCACCACATCGACACAGCGACGGGCTCTTATGTCCCCGCCTCAAGCGCGGCCGGAGGGGCCCGAAGCCTGGGACGCTGAGGGGGCCCTGCCCACCTCCCGCAGGCCCCGA